CTGCTCGGCTGCCCCGCTTGCGTTCCCCCTCAGCAGCAGCCGGTGCAGGCGGTGGGAGCGAGCGGGCCCCGGTCAGCCCTGCAGGGCAAGTCCCGGGGGCACCGCGGTGGTTCCCGGGACCCCCGTGCGGGCGGGGAATCGTGTCGGGCCTGGAGCCTGCAGAGAGCTCGCTCGGGGGTGATTTCGATGCCAGCTACTAGTAAAAGCATAAACGGCGGAAAAGCCAGAGTTAACCTGTTAGCAGCTGTATTTTTAACTCTTTATGTCTCTTAACGAAGAGGGAAGAGTGTTCCCCACAGCGGCTCAGCAGCGGAGGCAGATGAGGCCTGTCAGTGCCATTTCTGAGATTAAGTTCTTGCACAGCAGAACCAGCACTGTAGCACGGCTTTCTTCATGATCTCTTCTTTAACCAGCTTCATACACCTGGCTTGCATAATCATATGCAAATGTTATGGTGAGGTCAGATGAACCGACTATTTTGGGTCAGTGTTTTCTGTTCACAGTAGTTATAAGTTTAATACAAATATACCATACCTGCATGTGCCTTTGAACTTTTATGAATTTTTACTCCAGACATAGATTACCCTTAAATGCATGGGTTTAGGTAGCATTTAAGTAAGGGAAGGAGGATTTGAGAAGACAAAGAATAAAACTTCAAAGCCATTGAAATGTATGAAACTCTGCTAAGCTTGAGAAAGTGACCTTTAGCAATGGGAATGGTATAGACAAATGAAACACCTTTCCAACAAACACCTAAATACACTGAAGTTTACATCAAGAGAAAGAACTAGGCATTCAGAGTGGTTCAGTTAAAAACCAAAACAAAAAACCCCAAAAGCTGCATTGATTAAACATATTTTTTCTAATCTTTCAGTAGGTCTTATTTTTACTGGCATCTTTCTTTGAATAGCTGTTCTTAATCAAAGGCTGTGTGTAATACTATTTTTGTTTAGATAATTAATTTCAAACTAGTACCTGCAGAGCTCTATTTTCAGATGTGGCAACATAGGATCCTAGGAGACATGCATTTTTCCTCTTGACATAAAAGCCCCTATTGCCATTAGTGTATTTTTAGAGACAAAAATTAGTGTTTATTTAGTGAAATCTGTAAAACCTTAAAAACTCTGGACTTTTTCTGCCTTTTTCCCCTCTATTTTTATTATTTTAAAAAGACAATTTAATTTTTGTTGATCAGTCAGGTTTTGCGATGGTTTTTTGCTGGTGTTTTTTCCCAGGTGGACTAACCTGAAAGAGGAGAGAATTTTGAAAATGAAACTTATATTTTAGTTCGTGATAAAATGGAAATCAAAACCACAGACAAATAAAAAGCTTTTTTTCAAACATATTTCTGCCTAGCTAACGTTTTTTAACTTACTAACCAACTAAAGATTAAAAAAATTATTTTCTATATTCATCAACTTTTTAAAGCATGTCTCACTGCTCGATCTTTTGATGAGTACAGGTAGTGAACAGCTATCTTTGTGGCAGCCAGGAGCATCAGCTTGCTGATAGAGTGAGAGGGAAGTGTTCTGTGATTCCATCCACTAAGGAAAACATGTTGTTTAAAGGACTCTAAATACTTTGCAAAAGTTGCCCTCTGTTAAACACTTCCATCTAATACTGCTTTGTTTTCCACAATTTTCTATTACTTTCCTTGCTTACTAAGTCTGCTTATACAAAATTCACTACCCTGGAATGACTCTTGAAATTCCATCTATTGCTTTTCTATGTAAATTGTACATTCTGTCATGCTGATCTGATCTGCTGGCTGTCCCATCTGTTGGATGAACTAGTCACAGGAGCAGCCAGTTGTAGTTCCTTAGTGATTGGTTTGTGATCTTAATTTTTAAAAGGTAGTTTTCTGGATTATAATTGTTTTCTGCTTAAAGCTTCGTTAATAAGAGTTATTAAGAAGTAGGTTAAATAGTTCTTGCTTCTTGGCATAGCAGCACATGATTAGAAATTTAATCTTTTTTTTTGCAAAACAGTTAATAATTCCTTGAGTTTCTTGTATAAACCTTGTATTTCTGTACAAACCATGTGGTATTTATTCTGCAGTGTACTGGATTCCTGATGGGCTTAATACTGCACCTGTTGACAAAAACCTCCCTCCCCCCCATGCTATTCTGTAGTTGCAATTTTTACTAGTTGTTTTGTGGACTGTTGTCTTATATTGCATCTGAATGTTACTACACTGGCATTATTAATTCAGTAATATGCATTCCTCTTTTCTTGAGACCTGCATAATTATAACGTGCACTTTATGCATAATTTCATTTTCTCGCAGTTAATTTTGAGAAAAAATGCCTGCTAAACTTTGTTTATAGTCCATCTGAATATTCTCTCATATGGTAAAACTTTTTAATACTACATCCATTAAGTTTGGAATTTCTCCTAAGGAACAGGAAGAGTTGGTGAAGAATTTGTAATTCATTGATACATTTCAAGAGCTTTCGCTCTGTGATTCCCCCCTTTCCTCTGTCTAGAAACATGACATTAGTCTGTAAAACATAACACAGCTCATACAGGAGACCTTCAAGAGCACGGTGAAGCAATATTAAAGTCCCTTCAGCTGAAGGTCACCACCATAGTTAAAAGCAATTATCTGGCTGACAGTATGTGCATCCATATCACCAGCCAGCACTGAAAGAAACTACAAGCTGCCTACATCTCACTGTCTATGGCCAGGCCACGCCAACTCTAGAAGAAGAAATGTGGTGCCTTTGTGGGTGCTTTTACATACCAAAAAAGTTTAGTTTGATTTTTTTTTTTTTCCCCTTTCAACTAAGTATTTCACTTGTTTTAATTGCAAATTGGAAATCATTATTTCCAGAAAACTTTGGTCCACAAAGACCTGATTTCAATCATAGAGAAATAAGATGGTATTTCTAAGAGCACATACCATATGTATGTGAAATGTTCATTTTAGCCTGCAAGGAAAGAGATTTAGACCTTATTCTTCCCCTTCACAAGCAGAGACAACTGAAATAATTCAAACGGTGTGTGCTAACTTCACGTGTGCTTCACATGTACTGTGTGACCATACTCCTGATTGTTTGACAAATATATCTTTTGAGTGCATTGTATATATTAAGTAATAGCAGCATGGAGAAAGAAAAGAGTCAAAACTGGCTTGATATCTCTCTTCAGTATGTTAGATTCTTTTACAGAGTTAGTGTCACTGAATATATTGCCATCTTTCCATTCTTCCATCTACTTACTGCAATTTTGAATATTTTATCAGTGAGATCTTTCTGATGCCTAACAAATGATACTCCCCGCAGGTTTGGCATCCAGGGGGAAAAAAGGAATCTCTTACTAAAAAAAAAGTATTCTTAAGGTGGTTATAAGAATCTTCTGCTATGTTCATTGAATGTTAGTATACTGTTTCCTTTGTGAGAAAAACATAGAGTAAAATAGAGTGAGTTTGGTTGGTTCATTTGAAATCAACCTTGGAATAGGTGTGGGGTTTTTTTGCAGGGGAAGGATTGCTGATGAACAACAATGTTGAACACCCAGGATGCCATTCTTTGAATCTAAAGCAAGCTGTCTTCACATCTGGAATAGGGAGGCACAGAAGTACTCTCAATAGGTCGAGTCTGGTCCATGGTCATGCCTGACTGAGATAGTGGCTGTTAAACACATTTTTTAAAAGCTTTTTTTTACTGAGTTTATTGTCAATAGAAAAAATACACTACTGAATATGGGAGAAGTTGCTGTGGATGTACTGATAGATGTAGGTGGCCTCAGAGGTGAGATGCTGTCAGGAATCGAATGGCATAAAAGGATTTAAAAATGGACTGGAAACATGCTTATATTTTTGTCTACAGTACTATTAAAAATGTTTTGAATGTTAAAGAATATCAGGAATATATTTTGGGGACTTTTATTTTAAAAACCCAAGATAACTTTAAAAGGCAGATGTCTGTGATAGTTTTGTTACTCAACACCCTGCAGAGCACAGGACAAGGCTGACTAGACAAGTACAGGTCATGACTTCTGGGTGATACAAAATCTCATTTCTGCCATCCTCTCTCAGCTTTATGTCACAGAAAGGCTCTGTTTCTCATCAAACCCTGTTTTATTTTTAGGAGGATAGCATTGTGTGTAAAATGGAAGTTGACATAAACGGAGAATCCAGAACGACCCTATCCAGCCTCCCTGTGCCTCTTGCAGAGGTGAGTCCCAGAGGCAGGATGGAATCAGAGAAGCCTCGCTGTTCCAGTACCCCCTGCTCACCAATGCGACAGACGGTTGCAGGATATCAGATCCTTCGCATGGATTCTAACTACCTAGTTGGTTTTGCGACTGGAGAGGAGCTGCTAAAATTAGCTCAGAAATGTACAGGAGGTGAAGAGAATAAAGGGGAACCTGGGTTGAACCTGCACTCCAGACACCATGATTCAGGACTTACACGTTCCTCCCGTTTCTACAAAACTAGAAGTAGGTATTATCAGCCATATGAGATCCCAGCAGTAAATGGAAGGAGGAGGAGACGGATGCCCAGCTCAGGGGATAAATGCACAAAGGCTTTACCACATGAACCTTGCAAGGCGCTTCATGCTCCCTTGCCTCTTTGCCTTTTTAAAGGTAAAAAGGCTCATTCAAAATCCTTGGACTACCTCAATTTAGACAAAATGAGCATTAAGGAAGCTGTTGACACAGAAGTGCTACAATACCAGCTCCAACACCTTAACCTTAGAGGGGATCGTATGTTTGCAAGAAATAACACATGAGCTATCATCTCAGATTTAGAACAAATTTCTCATTATTTCTCTGTTGCTGCAAAAAACCACTGTTGTACTGTATACATGACTGCCCACATTGTAGGCGGTCATAGCAGCTAAATTTTATCAGAAAGTAATTTATTTTAATAGAATCTTTGCAATCCAGTGTGTTACAAATATTCAGAGGGAGAACTCTTTCTGAGCAAGCAGCTTTTTATGAAAATTTACTGCAACTCGTGGATATTTTTTTGGACACCTTTAAAAAAAGCTTGATTTTTGGGTTTGGGATACTCTTTTTGTACAGTTAGATCCAGTATTTACAGTAATTGAAAAGTGATAAATTAATTGGTGGTGTCTGCTTGGTTGTTGCTAATTTTGGCTTGATGCTAGAAGCTGCTCTTGGATCCAAGTACTCAAATTTAGGAGGCTTTTTGATTTTACTTTTTGTTCCTTTATTCTACAATAAAATGTATGTATTTTTTTGTCATGGAGGAGAAAGTGAGCTTGACTGAACTGGATAACTTGCTATTTAAACAGTCAAGTTCAGACATCTTCAAACTGCACTTGCACTGGTGGTGAGGATGAGATTCACTCATAAAACAAACCTTTAGTACTTGAATCCTATTATTTTTTTTGTTCTGCATGAAAGTAATTGCGTTTTCTCCGCTACAAAAGTTGTTCAGGATTAATATTTGAGTTACTAAAAACAAATCTCTTGTTGAGTGAGGGGTCTGTTGTTTTTTTTGTTGATAGGATTTGCTCTTTACCTTGTCTTGATACACAAACAAGGATTCACTTCAGATTCCAGTAATTAAACTGGAATGTCTGCATTGGTATGTCACTAATGTTTTTTATTTTAATTAATTATTTCTCTATCATGTATAGTAACAGAAGTTTTTGAATAACTTCCAGATAGCTTTGGAAATTCTGGTGATTTGTGGCACCGAACACTTGAGATCTCAAAAGCTGATTATTTTTTTTTAATGGAGTATAACTAAAGTATTTCTATATTAGCATTAAAAGAGATAATCCTAGGTTATTCAACACAGTAGACTGAATACACTGGCTTACTTTTAATGAAGAATTTTTTATCCAAACTTGATGTGAAATGCTGTTTTAACAGCCGTATTCCTAGATGTATTGAGAATGTTTTAGTGACTTCTGTTAAAAAATTAAAAATAGCTTTCAGGCTGTCTTCTTGGGCGCAGTAGTTTACTGAAGCAGTGAGTAATTCTACCAGAAACAACTGATTGAATGTTTCAAAACAATGTAATCTTCTTTTTAATGTCTTCTGTCAGAAGTATTTATCTTCAGTAAGTCTGCATTTTGCTGGTTTGGCTATGTTTTTTTAGAGTTTTTGAAACAACCCAAAATCTATTTTCAAAAGGTAACTACACCTGTTTAAATTTTATATACCGAACAATGATCTTCAAAGTGAGGTCTTCAGTTTCGGAAAGTGGAAGTCTTCAGTTTGGAAAACAGGATATGTTCAGATGCCAATGAGATGGGACTTCTGTTTAAGGATTAAACAACCACTTTTTATTGAAATACCCTATGAAACTGTATTTCTGGCTGAAAAATAAAAAAGGGTGGTATAAACACGTATTGTTGTGGAGTCTTCTGCTTTGTAGGAAAAAGAGGACATTTAAAATATACAACTTTAGACAAGGGATCATTTAAAAAACAGCTTTAAAGCCGGGATCTTGGACTTGTATGAAATAGATGGCTTTAGGTTTGTTACTTTGTTTCAGGAAATGAGCCATGGAAATATATTGTGCATGTTTGTAATGTCATTCTGTTCAGTAATTTTATAGCTATACTAATACGGAGGTTGATGCCTATCTAGTTAAGTTCAAACATAAAAAAAAATGTTCCTACTTGTTCCATGTTTTTTTGTTCCATGTTTTGCTTTTTGGTGCTTACGTGTGGTAATACTGTTTGCTTAAATCATACACACTTGCAGCTCTCGTAGTAGATCCTCATGCAAGAGCCCAATGTTTTTCAAGTTTGATTTTTAATGTTCTTCAGCAGAACTCTTTACATCTATGGAGTGTTCCTCCTTTTACCTCTGAATTAAACAAAATCTCAGCCAAATGAAGGCTTTCGATCCTGTCTTTTTCTTAGTGCTTATAATGTCTTCCATTACATTATGCTGTTAAAGATGAGGTGGTTCTTCAGACTGCTAAAAGAAAATTGGAGATTAACAATATTGACCTTCCAAAGTGAGTTCTCACTTTTCTTCTAATAAATTAGAAGAAAAGAAAAAATCCTCAAAACCTAAATATTTCTGTGTCAGCTTTAGGTATCTACCAGAGGATTAAAACACTGAAGGTAGAAATTTTACAGTGTAAGAACACATTTTCTGTTAAAGATACCATTAACTAAAGCAGATCTGGAATGAGATGTGAATGTACATGCAGGGATATAGAGGCTGATCCTAAATTCAGGCACACTACTGGCATCTTTTAAAAAACAACAACTTGTAAATGCTCCTGCCCTGTTCTCTTTTGGCTTGTATTTATGGCTGTGCACAGTACCTAACTGATCTTACATTTTCTTTACTTCCTCTTTGTTCATCCATTGTATTCTGATTTCTACTCAGTTCTCTTGGGTGATGATCTCTCTTGCTGACTCTAGTGGGTATTGTTAACCACAGAATAGGAGTACTAGACAACATTGCAAAATAAGTAATAGACAAACTTTCAGAATTTTCTGTAGCTACTCTCCTCAACATCTTTTGTTTTGTTTTGTTTTTTCTGGGAAGAACAGAGGAGAAATGGAGAAATGTTAAGTTATTTTTAAGCTGCTGAAAATGTAGTTGTTGCTGTCTGGACACGGAGACAGGTTCTTAGTAGTTCAGGGTTTGGTGGGTAAAAAATTTCATAATTTTGTGGGCAAGTAAGAGAAGAGGACAAGTGCAATTTTTAAGAAGACTTTGAAGAGAGGAGCATAAAGGCTGCATAACTTCAAAAATCTACAATATCTGCAGAAACACCAGCTGATTATTTCAGTAAAGCTAGGTGGTGTCAGGCTATATAACTTGCTTTTGGAGAGATGAAAAAACTATCCAGAACACAAAACTGGTCTTAAAAAAATTCTAAGTGGGTTTAAAAGTATGCTTTCATTTGGTAAATCAGAGTATTCAGTTAAAAATAAAAATAAAAAAAATCTTAAGGTCAGTACCAAGCTAATGTCAAGTTTTATGGATCAAACTGTTGTTCCAAAACTGACTTCTTCACCCAGCATGCAAAAACCAATCCACACACTGAGTCATGATACTTGTTTTATTCCAGTTCTGCACAGAAAATGTGTTCTAGGTGATAGTTTGCATTTTTTTTTTTGTCTGTATCACACCACATTTTTTAATGAGAGGTTAATTCTAACTTTCAAAGGCTTTCAGACAGATTATGGGGCTTTTTTTGCCCTGGTGATGTTGCTAGTGATTTCTTTTTTTTTTGTCTTTCCTCTTTATTCTATCATAAAAGCTCTTGGGAATGACCAAGCTCTATCTTCAGATGTATAGAATATGGGAAACGTCCCTTTTTGGAACATTGTGTTATTATCAAGTTAAAGGGGAGGGAAGGAGATTCAACCTTCATTATGTATTCCAGTATAAATACCAGTTATGATGACTGGTAGGGATTATGGCCCCATTTCATTTTGCTAAAAGCTTGCTTGCTGAAGCTTCTGAAGATAACCTGTTCTTTCAGTGAAGCTGAAAGACACAAGTGCTAAATATGCAAGAACTTTCAGAGCAGCATTAACCGCTCGAACCTTACGAAAAATGGAACAAGCCATAAATCACTGTAGTGCTTTACATTAACCTATTTTTCATAAATTCAAAGAATGTTGAAGAAAACTGTTAGGTACAAGTGTTAGCTTTTAGAAGCCTATTTCAGGCCAGAAATACTGCATCATAGAGCCATGTGGTGTGAACTACAGTCTGAAAACAGATAAAAGTACAGAAGGAGAAATAATACAGTGCCCTGGAATAGCAAGTGGCAAAGAACCAACTTTTTAAACTAGATGAAATAGAGTAGGGGTAAGAAAGCAGTGAATGTAAGATTGAATTTTTCTATGCCTTTGCTCAGTGATTTAATTTTTTTAATTTATTTTAATTGGGGCAAACATCTTCCATTTTTTATGAAGGGAAATTGAAATATCCAGAATAGCTACAGCTCCAAGCAACTGACTGTATACAGGATGTATACCTGTCTATATTAATGCATTCTATAGAAAATATTAATTCCCATTTTTATCAGCATTTCAATGTTCAGCTGATACTATTTCAGAATTAGTTTTGGTATAGAGAGATGATTGAAACAAACCAGTGTATCAGAATGGGTTAATAGGGATGAGTAATGGTCCATGGTTGAAACAGATAAGGAAAGCAGAACTTTGGGAGGAATTCATGGTCAAACAGATAAAAGAAAAATTACGGCAAAGTAACAGAACCTTGGGAGGCATCTGGCATTTGTACAAGCTGTGGTTTGTTCAGTTCCCAGGGCAGCCAAAGGACAAGGAAGATAGAAGAAGATAAGAGGAAGTGCACCTGAGGGGGCATCTTGGAGCCCACACCCAATTGGTTGTGCATGTGTGTTTGCCTTGTGTGATGTAACCTGGTTGGGATGACCTGTGCCAGAACTCCATCCCCCCTGCTCCCAGTATAAGCCAGGATTTTCCTGAGGGCACTGGGCTAGTGCACCACTAAAGTGGTCACTGTTGCCTCTGTAGCGATGCCCAAGTCAAGCGTTGCACCTGCCAACTGCCTCTTGCACCACATGATGCTACACCTGGGACTGTGGGTCTTCATCTCTGTTGGGTTTGTGTGTATGTAATTGTGTGTAACTGTAATGTGTAATACTGCATTATACTAGGAATTAGTAGCTTAATAAATTCCATATGCTTTGCTTATTTTTGTGTGCCTGTGTCTCCCCATTTGAGCTGTGCAAGGGATCCCTGGCTCCACTCTAAAACAAACTGTATTGAAGGAAGAAATACTGATTGGG